ACAAGATTAGTGTCCTCATCAACCAGGTGGACTCGGTTGATTCAGGGATAGCAGAGGGTCTTGGAGAAAACACTAGATGTCAACCTTGGAGAAGTGGGACGTGACCGAGGTAGTAGGTATGCATTAGGATTGCTCTAAAAGTGTGATGCCGAGAATTAGTGGCTCAGGGTGTATGTGTGGGAAACAATATGGGGATTGGGGTAAGTGGAGGAAAATTGCTCCACTTGAGTATAGTTTAGCTATGTGTCCTTTAAGGACTCTTAGGTTTGTTGTCTGTGACGTTGGTGGGCCTATACAGGTAACCCGCCACCACTAGTATTTAAGCAACCATAGATCTCTCTCTCTTTTCATAGAACAATGCATCAACAAACACCTTACACACACTCACCGGTATGATCGTTCACCACCACTTGTGATTTCTGCTTGTGCTTGTACTTTATCAATTCGACATCAATTATTCCTCTCACACTCCCAGTACCACTCTGATTATCATGACAGGTTAGTTTATTTTCTCTTCCCTAATTTTCAAGTCCAATTCAGTGTTTGTGACTCCCCAACATGGGTTATAAACCTATTCTGCACAGAATAAGGTTCTCATGTATCTAATTCATTTTTCTCTGTATTACTTCTAGAGCCACAAAGGTCTGTTACCAACAGGATCATGCCCACCATGAGCCAAGTCAGCAATCCAGTTATTGATCCAATCCATTGCCCAGTTAAGGGATGCTCATTCACTTTTCGGCATACTCGCAATCCTCGAAAATCTTTGGCTTCTCATCTTCGTTATATGATAAAGAACAAAAATGATGCTGCACACATCAGTGCTCCTAAAGCTCCTTCAAATAGAAGACAATATACAGGTATGTTATTTTTACAATTCATCACTAGTTACTCTACCTATAATGTCTAACCTATATGTTTTAATTTATTAATTAGATGAGCAAGCTCTTGCTGCAAGGAAGGCCAGCACGAAAAAATACCAGAATAAACCTGAAACAAAATCAAAGCGTAAGCATCAAAGGTGGGTACGGCAGGGCAAGAAAGCTGCCACTGCAGAATTTGCTTTGTATAGGCTACAGCCCAGTGAAGTTGAGATGACTCAATATGTTGAAAACTATATTGCTCGGCATGAGGAGGCTGAATGTCTCTACCCTCAAGCCCCCCGCCAAGCACCTACCTCCCCCAATACTAGTAGTATCTAAAAGCTTCTTCACAATTAGAAGGTAGTTAGTATCAAAGCCAGTTAGATATTTTTTTTTGCATCCTTTCTCATCTTTGTTCCTTAATTCTTGTTTTATTGTGTACTTTCTTCAAGTTTTTTTTAAATAAATCTTCTAAATTTGCCTTATTAGTAGCTCATTTTCTTTTTACCTTTATCTTTATGATAAAGGTCTCATATGCCACCTATGTTTTCAAAAATCACCTCAAATACCACGGTACCCTCATATGCCTCCAAATTTGATTATGTAAGTTTTTTTAGTAATTGATTTTAAAATTTTAATTCAAAGAAATATTTTACATTGTATAAAATTCAGAGAAAGAAAAGTGTAAGTAGATAGTTGAGAATTAAACAATGAATTGAGATTTACTAGCTATGTGAGCGGTGACAAGTAGCTGAATTGTGTCCAATTTCCCCACATGTTGAGCATTTTTGTCTTGGAGGTGCCAGCTCATCAGGTAGAATACCTAATTGATTGGCAATCAACTGTTCTTGCTGAACCTCACCAACTCATATACACTCTTTTCTGGGTCTTCCACGGAGCTTCCATGTAGTAGGAGGCTCTACTTGTGGAGCAACAGAAACAATTCCCTCTACTGGTTTAGCTGCTATTCTATTTCCTTCAATATTGGTAATATCTACAGGAAGGAAGTTAGCTTCGTAAGTTGATTTCCAGGTAGCGACAGAAAAGATATTAGGAAGGTAGCTTTGAACAGGCTGGTATGATGTTAGTGATAAAAGTATGAAGTAGAGAAGAGTAAGACAAACCTGATTGATTGTCAGAATACAACTTAAAGTATGCCTAAATAGAATGCCATTCTCCTGATACTTGGTACAAGAGCAAGTCACTTGGGTAAGGTCTACAAGTTTGACATCTCCATTTAGTTGGGTAACATGTCCGTGAAATTTATTTGCCATAAGAACAATATTTTGTCTTGCCCACAGTCTGCTTTGACCTAACAGCTCAGTGCAAAACTTGGTGTACAGGATAGCAGGACTAGTCACTGTAGCCTCTTTATATCGTTCAAAGCATTGACCCATAAGCCTATGCCAGATTGCATTTAGTAACTCTATAATTGACAGCTCACGATCAAGCTTCAGAGTACTATTAACTGACTCCACAATATTAGAAGTGTCATGGCCATACTGTTTTCCAGGAAAGAAAGCCTTTGCATATAGTATTGGATCAGCATTTCGTAAGTACTCCTCAGCAGTTGGCTTGACTTCCTGGACCTTTATCATGGCTGCTTCAAAGGATTCAACACTCACAGCCCTTGCCACTGCCCAAAAGAGGTTGGATAAGCCTCTTTCATGGGCAGTCATAAGATTCTCCTTTAAGTGCTGACAGCAATAAGTGCGAATAACTGTTGCAGGCAAGTTCTCAGAAGCTTTCACTAACCCTTTATCATGGTCACTCATGAGAGTTACTTGCTCACTCCTCATTTCCGGAATTGCTTGCAAGAGGTTGGATAGAAAGTAATCCCAAGAAGAAGCATTCTCACTCTCTACAATAGACCAAGCAAGCAACAATGTCTTCCCATTTGCATCGATAGTTACCACAAGTAACAGGGTTTGTACAAACTTTGTTTTTAAAAAGGGTCTAGTGACAGCAACAAAGCGACGGCACAAACAAAATGAGGTATGAAATTCGACAAGGGCGATGAAAATTCTACGAAATCGATATGTGGTGTTGTCAGATGATAGATGGATATATGTATTTGGATTTGCTTGTAGGACAGAATTAACATATTGAGGGAGCTGATGAAATCTTTCTCTTTGACCTTTGAGTGTATCATCTAATAGATGACCCTTTAATCTTGATGCCACTTTATATAACAATGTCTCTCCAAACTGGATACACAAGCAGTTGATAACTTCCTGAGGTTTGGTTGCTTGTGTAATACTTAAATGGTTAGGTATATGACATTGCAGCCAGGCTTGGGTACCAGATATACTTATTCATTTTTTGTGATTACCTGGAAGACATGTATGTTCAGTAATCAGAACACTAATTTTAATATCTTCTTGGTTTGTATAGTGTGCTCTTACTCGCCATTAGGAGCCTTCAGTAGTACAAGCATAGATTGCTCTTGTTCTATCACGATCAAGAACTTTGAAGCTGAACTTTTCTTTAACTGACCAATCCTCAATTGCTTCTTGAACTTTGGTAAAGTTGGGAAAATGTTGGCCAAGTGCCGGTCCACCAGGAAGTTGAGACAGTGCAGACATAATAGATAAGTCTGAATAGTGGAGAGTGAAGACTGGAGAGGTAAGACTGGAGAGCAAAGAATAGAAGGTAGAGGGCAGAAGAGCAGATGAATGGGTGAGGAGCAATAAGCAGAAATTGAAGAGCTGAGAGTAAAGAGGAGAGAGAGAAGAGCAAAGTACTATGAGAGAAGAGCAAGAAGCAAGAGGCCAACAGTGAAGAGCAGATACTGAAGACTGAAGAGAGAGGAGTAAGAAGTGGCCTAAGTGCCAACAGTGGAGAGTGAAAACTGAAGAGCGAAGATAGTAGGGCAAGGAGCCAGGAGTGAAGACTGGAGAGTGAAGAATGAAGAGTGAAGGGCAAAGAGCTAGGAGCAAAGAGTCAAGAGTGAGAAGTGCAGAGAGAAAAGTGAGGAGGGAAAAGAGAAGAGTGAGAGGTGAAGACAGAGGAGTGAGAAGCTAAGACCAAAGACCAAAGAGCCAGGAGCGAGGAGCAAGGAGCAAGGAGCAGAGACTGAAGGGCGAGAAGTGAGGAGTGAAGACCAGACAGCAAAGACTGAAGACTGAAGATAGAAGAGTGAAGAGCAAAGGGTGGAGAGAGAAGAGAGAAGAGTGCTGAGAGAGCAGCTAAGAGCAAAGAGCAAAGGACAAAGAGTGAAGAATAGAGAGAGATTAGTGGAGAGTGAGAAGCAAGGAGTGAAAAGTGAAGGATAGAGAGAGGAGAGTGAAGGACAGAGCAGAAAGCCAAAGCCCAAAAAGAGCAAAGACTAAATAGCGAAAGAGCAGAGAATGAGTAAGGCTGTAGTAGGAGAAAGAGGGCGAAATCAGAGGACAGGTAGATTGTCTGTAAAGAGGAAGTAGTGGAAGGGGAAAAACAGTGGTGAAAAAACTAAGTTGAGTAAGAGAGAAAAAAAAAGTGGTCAAGTAGAATATGTTTGTTTCCGTGTGCTGGCAATTCTCCATTACCAGTGCCAAGACTAAATAAATAATTTATATCAATACACCTAATTTGTATTTTATTTACATTGAAGAAAAACTTACATAATATATTCTTGTGGCATCTAAGGGTACTGTGGCATTTGAGGGGATTTTTGAAAATATAGGTAGCATATGAGATCTTTACCATTTTTTTTATTTGTTTTACTGTTAATGTATTTATATATTTGTACAAGTATCTTTTTAAAGGACATGATCAAATACTCTTCAATATTACATCAGATGAATTTCATGATGAAATTCCTGATTATATTGATGCTCAATATCTCTCTGCCTCTGAAGCAGCATGGCAAATTCTTGAGTATAATATATCAAGAAAGGAACCATCTGTCAAAGTATTATCTATTCATTTTCCTGACCAGCATTTATCACAAATATATCAAACAAATAATAGCCAGTGAGCAGCAAGAACTCCTCTTCACTATTTCGCTCAATCTTAGACACCAGCTTTTGAAAACCTCCTCTATACCGATTACTATGAACAGTTTTGTTTGTACTCAATAAGTTCAACTATGATACCAAATTCAGCAGCTCTTTGACCCAATGATCATATAGGGTTCCCAGGACAGCAATTTCCTCAATAGATTATTTGAGTACAGTCCTGAGGTGAAGTTGTCACTAGAATTCGGACTGTTCCTCCTCACACTGGAGAACTGTTTTATCTTTGTGTATTACCCTCTCATAAGCCAGCATTTAGCTTTCAACAGTTACACTCAGTTGGAAATACTATCCACAACTCCTTTCACAGCGCTGCTGCTGCAATGGGTCACTTCCAAAATGTTGATGAGGCATAACATGGTTTAGCTGAAGGCATCAATAATTTTGCCTCTCCCTATCAGTTGCAATTTCTTTTCTGCCAGTTGCTATTGAACTTTCCAACAAATGTAATTGTCCTTTTTGATCATTATCAAGAGCAGTTGATGGCCAACTACCTATATCAGTTCTCAAGTGCTGAACTTGCAGCAAATTTGTCTCTTCATGATCTTGAGAGATTCTTGAAGTCTCAAGGTTCAAAATTAACTTAGTTGACTTTGGATTATCACAGCCTGCAGAGCAATCATCATTATTACAACATGAGAAAACCCACTATCCTAGTCAATATCTCATCCTGTTAGAGAAATACCAGCATGGTGAACTATTGTTCTCAAATGAGCAACTTAATATCTACTACTCGATTTTAGAGTCCTTCTATTCACTAGCCATTGATCGGACTACAACTTCATTTTTTATTGAAGGCAAGGCTGGTCAGGTTAAGACTTTTACAACCAGTGTTTTGGTTAATAGGCTTCGTAGTGAGGGGCATATTGTCTTAGTTGTTGGCTCAACTGCATTAAGTGTGGCACAATATCAGAGAGAACAAACAGCACATTCTGCATTTGGCATTCCAGTTACTGAGGTGGCATAACAATTCAGAAATAAATACTATAAGTATTAGTAGTATAGTTAATATACTATTAATCATTTATAGAATCACATGGTGTTGCAGTCACGAATTGGACCCAATTCAGATTATGCTAGATTTCTGCAAAGTGTAGAAAACCTATTTTGGGAAGAGCTACCTATGTTGAATCAAGTGGCAATTGAGTGTACAAATTCCCTTTTACAACTTCTAATGGGTAATACAAGACTATTTAGTCAGAAGATAGTGGTTGGACTAGGTGACTTTCAGCAAGTAGCTCTAGTTGTGAGAAATAGTGGACCAACAGCCTCTCTGGATGCCTCTATTTGATCATCATGACTATGGAAACACTTTCTTATACTTCAACTACATCAACCAGTTTGCAATGCTCAAGATCCTGTATACTTGAAATCAGTTGATACAATTGGCAAAGACACACTAACTGATTCACCAATCACATTACCTTTAATTTGAAGAATTAGTATCTATGAAGAAATTGCTGAATATCTTTTCCCTGACTTGATACTTCTTTCTCCATAACATATTTGTCAAAGGTCACTCTTAAGTCTCTTGAATACATATATTGACAAATTTAATATTCAAATGCTTGAGAAAATACCATTCAAATCAGGTAAGCATTTTACAAAATAATATTATCTTCTTAGTCACAATGCTTGAATTAAGCCCTATATCTGTGATAATTCTAAATAAGAGTAAGGCCACTAACTTAAATTTAATCATAATAGAGCATAAGTACTTTAGTTATGATAGCATAAAGGATAGAGAAAGTATACAGAAAACCATTGAAGAAGAACTATTGAATTCCAGTCTACAAGGTCAGATTTTAACTCCTGAATTGCTCCATGAAATTCATGAACCTGGAGTACCACTACATGAGCTTCATTTAACAGCATCAGCAATTTGTGTTATAATGAGAAACCTCTCACTTGAGGATGGGCTAGTCAAAAATGCAAGAGTGGTTATAAAAAAGGTTTTCAAAAATGTTATAGAAGTGGAGTTGGTTGGGGTAGAAATATTAGTGATGAGTAAGAGAAAGATATACAATCTTTAAGAATTATGTTTCAATTTCAACCTAGATTTTGGTCATGGATCATGCAGTAAAAACAGTTTCCTCTTCATCTAACATATGCAACTATATTTAATAGCTGTCAAGGGTTAACATTGGATCGTGCAGTTATTGATTTACAAGTACCATCTTTTTCTCATAGACAACTGTATACAAGTATTTTAAGAGTGTGGCATTGAGATCATATTGACTCATTTTTTAATCCTGAGAATGAGGAAGGACTAACAAGTAATATTGTATATAAAGATTCACTTCTATCAAACCCAGATATATTTAATTAAGTATAGTTAACCTTATTATTCGGTAAACTATATAGACTAGCATTTCATTTCTGTTGATAAGGTCTTTTATTATTATAACACTGTATTTTTTATAAAATTATTTATTAACTTTAATTTTTCACATACTATATCTTGGGGCTAATATTTTCATATATAGTTACTACTTACTGTTACTCTTGATAGTTGTGAATTTATGCTCATGGTTGTTATATAGAGTCACTATATATCATTGCTCTGTATGGTTACCATCTGTGGTTGCTATGCACTATATACCTACCCCTCTTCTTTCTTTCTCGCTTTTTCTCTCTTCCCTCTATTTTCCTCTCTCATTCTCCCTCGCTTACCTCTGCTATTACTTACTTTCTTCCCCTTCAACTTCTATCCTACACTACTCTTATTTCAATACCAAATATGGGAAAAGGTTTTATTCTTCTTCTATTTATCTTCTTTTATTTCTACCATCTTAATTTTTTCTTTTTGCATTTAGCAATACATACTTAGTGCTCATTTATTACATGTGGTGGGAGCTTTGAAGTATTAGCTTTATCCCTAAAGAATTAATTTTGTATGGCTAGTTATACATATTCTATAAGCCATTATTTTTGCCTTATTTCTACCATCTTAATTTTTTCTTTTTGCATTTAGCAATACATACTTAGTGCTCATTTACTACATGTGGTAGGAGCTTTGCAGTATTAACTTTATCTCTAAAGAATTAATTTTGTTTGGCTAGTTATACATATTCTATAAGACCTTATTTTCATCTTCTCAGTAGGATTTTACTTATAATATTGTAATTTTTTAGTCAAGAAAAATAAGCATGCGGAATTTCTTCAGAGTACTGAAACCTGGGCAAATACTAATTCTGACTTTTTATAACTTCTTCCTCAAACCTACCAAACAGCTCCTCACCTGCAACTCTATACCATTTTGCAGAACCAATTTCCTATCAAGAGTTCTGATCCTATGAAGCTTTTCTATGATCTTATCTTGCTTGCCACTACCTCTTGAAACCCTGAACCATATATCATCTTTGAACCTTTTCTTCATTCTATTTGAGACCTTCAAACCAACAAAAACCAGTATAAACAGAAGCAAGCCCTTTTAGCCTACAATCTCTACCTCAACCTATCCCCCAAAGCAAGAGATAAGGAGTTTTTATTCTTCCTTTCTACTGTTGCTCTTGCCAAACTATCCACACCTGAGATCTATCCTCCTCCGGGCAACTGAATTTATGAAAGTGAAGAGATCTGAGCTCTCTGGCAGGACCACCTTTTGCATGGAAGACAGCTAGATACTAGGTTAAGAAGACACCCTCTTCTGGAATTAGAGGAAGGCTGATTGGAACTTGATATTACTGGAAATCAAAGTGCATTCATTCAGGATCAAGCCTCAGGTGAGATAGTTGCTATGGTTTGTAGAAACTTTATGCCTGAGCAATACCATTGTATTCTTGAATAGATTAATCAAACTATTATAGTGAGTATTGATAGGAAGAAAAGTGCAAGAGTAAGTTCATATTCAATCCTTATGCAAGTAATTAATATTATACTAATTTCAAACCTATACTATAGTTTAAAGATCCAGGAAGCATTGTCCAGACTAGCTATTCTGCTGGATCCCAAAGCCATCCTCGATTTGATTAGTCAAAAAATCTACTATCCAAAAACTACAACACTCAGGAGCAACAAGAGATTACTTATCAAGAGAGTAGTATGTTTGAACTATTTTGGAACATGGCTAGAAGGCTTATTCATAGTGATATCAGCAAGAATATTGAAGAGTTTCTGGAAACAGGATTCAAGAGAATGTATAATAAGGGAAAACAATGCAAGAACAATACTTATACAATCCAGTATGAGAAAGAGGTATATGAGTTTCAGCAAGGGCAGCTAGCCCCTCCAGTGGGCTTCTTTGCCAGCAACTACTCCAGGTATGTAATAAAGTATAAAGTTTGGTTGGAAAAACTACTAACTGAAAGCTTTAGAGTAATTCATAACGAAGGGGCACCTCATGAGTACAGTCTATTCTGGACAACCGATAGAAGCCTGGGGGAAGGTGAGGGGTGCAACTTCTTTATTTCTGATTATGGAATCAGAATTCAAGGAGCAAAAAACACTATGGTAGCCTGGCAGATGAAAATGTTCCATGGTACAAGTTTAGCAAAGCTAGCGAGTATTGACTCTGACAGAGGTAGAGGACAGGTAGGTCTTAGTATAGTTTCTCCTAGCAGGCTTATGAATATTTGGCAGAGGTATATGGGTGAAAAGCTTGATAAAAATAATTTGGAGAAGGAATTAGAAGTGGGAGAGGAGGAATGGGAGTAGGATATGCAATGCAGGGTGAATGTTGGTATATGAGTTTGTCTGCAATTTGATATGCTTAGTTTTGTCCACTATTATTATTGGAAAAATATACTCGGCCACCACAGCCATATTCAAAATTCACATCCGGCCGGAGGCCAGTTGCCACTTGTACCAGAAATAATGATAGTGGGCGAATGGTGCTTACAATTTTACATGAGAGTGCCATACAAAAAGTACATTGCAACAGTGTCCAATCTGGGCCCTAGGCTCTCAGCCATCATGGTGGAGTGGGAAAATTCTCATAATTTCTACCCAGAGAGTCTAGGTAATTGCCTACATTGTGACATCCATTTCGTTAATTCTATCTTGCTTTCAGATGGGTTATTGGTGCCCAAAATCAGCCATTTTTGGTGTAAAATGGTAGGGTGTCAACGAATTTTGCAGATAGCCTCGTACACCGGAATCTTGGTCAAACAAAAGCTATATATGTGTGAGGTCATCTGGAAGAACCTCTGCAATGCCTACAACAGCCAAGTCTCTCCGGGTCAATGAGGGCAATCATCCCGTCTCATCTAACTTTACACCATCCGGCTCCGCCTTCACAAAACAATCAGCACTCATCCCACATGAGAACAAGCTCCCGTTCTCCACCGCTATCGACCTGGCCATCGACATTGAAGCGAAAATTGAAGAATGTCTTGAATCTGAAACCGGTTGGTACATGCTTGTTACCGGTGTTGTGGAACACCTGGTTGAAGCCATCTATTCCCGCCCATTAACCTCCGTCTTCCATCCGGTTGTAGTCACCACGTTTCATGTTCCCTGTCGGAGAAGCAAACAGTGCGATGCAGGTTTCAAACCACCTCATACGCGGAGATGTCCGCACGGGTAGCCATCAGTTATC